TTTGTGGTTCCATATAAGTATCAATTTTTTTTTTCAGTTTGAAAAATGTTGCTGGCAGTTTGATGGGGATTATGTTGAACTTGTATATCATTTTAGGCAGGACGGTCATTTTGATTGTATTGATATTCCCCATCTATCAGCATGGGATATACTTCCATCTCCTTATGTCATTAAGTCCTTTAATAAATGGATAATTCCCATTGCATGGTCTTTTATTTCTGCTGTTAGGTTGATTCCGAGGTACTTAACTCTTTTGGAAGCATTTATAAATGGAGTTATTTTTAAGTTTTCTTTGCTTCTTGTTCGTTGTGTATAAAAAGGCTATGAATGAGCCTCCCAGGTGGTGCAGGGGTTAAAGTCAGCGCTATGAAGCTCTCCAGCAGCCACTGCAGCATGAGTTTTATCCCGGGCCAAGGAGCTAACCCACATGGTACAGCAGACCTCTCCTGTCTTGCCTGCTACTCCCTTCAGCAGTGTATTTCAGTCAGTCAGTCTGTTCTGTTCCCCACTCTGTCTCTGGTGAATCCTCTCACCCTCCTGCACCTCTGGCTTGCACCCCAGTTTTTGTATGCATAAATAAAATTTTAAAAATCTTAAAAAAAAAGGCTATGGATTTTTGTACATTCATTTTGTAAGCTGCCACTTTGCTATAGTCATATATTGTTTCTAATAACTTTTTTAGTGAAGTCTAGGATTTTTCTATATATCCTAAACCAGTGAACAGTGGTAGTTTCAGTTCTTCTTTTCTGACTTGGAGTCCTTTTATTTCCTTTGTTTGTCTAATAACTCTGACCAAAGCCTCTATTACTAAGTTAAACAGAAGTGGTGACAATGGGCATCTTGTCTTATTCCCATAATTTTATTAGGACAGAACCCAAGCCATTAAAACTTATTCAAGTAAGCCTCTACTGCAAAAAAAAAAAAATTAAATTATATATACATACATATATATTAGATAAGATGTATACTAAGGTTCAAACTAAGTTTTATACCTGGATCTTAAATTACTACAGTGAAGAAGAGATACTGCTTGTTCTGAACTTAACGAAAATAGCTCTGAACTTTTTTTTTCAAGATTTATTTATTTATGCATACAAGCTAGGGTACAGGCCAGAGGTGTGGCGGGTGAGAGGATTCACCAGAGACAGAGTGGAGAACAGAACAGGCAGACTGACCAAAGTACACTGCTGAGGGGAGCAGCGGGTGAGACAGGAATGGTCTGCCTTGCCATGTGGGAAACTCCCTGGCTGGCCAGGGATCGAACTCGTTCCGCAGAGGCTGTGGATTGCTTCATAGTGCAGTGCTTAACCCCTTGCGCCACCAAGGAGGCCCCCCTTTTTTTAAGATTGATTTATGCATACAAGAACTGGGCGTGTAAGCGCGGGTGTGAGAGGACTCACTAGAGAAAGTAGGGAGCAGAACAGGCATATCTACTGAAATACACTGCCGAGGGGAGCAGTGGGGCGAGACAAGAGAGGTCTGCTGTGCCATGTGGGTTTTAGAAAAGAAAGATAACTTAAAATAAGCCTGAAATCATACTGTATCACTGCACTTGCTCCCACCCTTTTCTTGCAGGTGGTGTTTCCAGTTTCCCTCAGTTTCTAATGTTTTTTTCTATATCCTTGTTTACCATACAGAGTATTTCTGCTGTATGCTTGTGAAACTGTTTTCCATTGAATCTCTTGTGATCTCTTAAGATATCTCCCTGGCCAGTCAGGGCATTGAAATGGGTGGCTGCAGAGACTGGCAACAGCTTGATAGCACTGTCTTAACCCCTGCGCCACCAAGGAGGCCCTGATGGATATTTAGACTGTTCCCTGTCATTTGCTGTTCTCAACACATCTATAAGAAATAACTTCATTATTAGGCCTCCCTGGTGGTACAAGGGGTTGAGTGTCAGCACTATGAAGCTATCCACAGCCACTGCAGCACAAGTTCAATCCCCAGCCAGGGAGGTGACCCACATGGCACAGTAGACCTCTCCTATCTCACCTGTTGTTCCCCTCAGTAGTGTATTTCAGTAGATCCGCTGTTTTGCTCCCCACCCTGTCTCTGGTGAATCCTTTCACCTCTGCCTGCACCCTAGCTTGTTTGCATAAATAAATAAATCTTAAAAAAAAAAAGAAATACCTTTATCAGGTCTCATGTGCAGAAGTACATCTGTGGGATAAATCCCAAGAAGCAAAGTTGAAGGGTCAGAGTATATAGGCATTTGTAATTTTGATACCAGATATACTTTTATACCTTTTTCTCTAGAAATACATAATAAAAAGTGGGTTACCTGTTAAAGAATTAGGAAGAAAGCAGCACAAATTTATTCATCAATTTACAGTTCATTTTCACTAAAAATACATTAAAAATAAATTTATTATGCATTCACCACATGCCAGATGTTTTCAGGTACTTGGAATATACATACATACATATATAATAAACTCAAATATCTGCCTTTGTGGAGCACACATTTAAATACTACAGTTTTGAACTCTATGTTACTTCATAAGAAATCAGTTAAATGTCAATATCCTGAAAATTATTTGTTGAGATATCCTGAGCACAGGCGCCAGACATATGCTACCAGTGTTATTTAAAAACTAACTAGAGGCAATGTTGCATATGATTTCATAGCTTTCCATCAGGTCCTTTTAAAACAACACACTTGGGAGAGAGCTCTTTTTATCTGACTCCATCTGCTGTTGGTAGTGATCAGCATACTGTGGGCATTGTGGTATCATCTGAGATTAGGTTGTGAAACAGGAAGTGGAGTTACAGGCAGATCAGCAAGTATATGCAAACTGCTTTGCTCTATCTCTTGCTGAAACCAAGAGTGCCCAATTCAGGTTTGGGGAGTGGGGAAGATATGGTCATCAGCACATTCCCATCAGGGCAGCTTCCTTTTTGCAGTATGTCCCTGCATTGGTTCAAGGAAGAGATCGCAAGAGAGTCAATGGAAAACATTTTCATAAGCATACAGCAGAAATACTCTGTATGGCGAGCAAGGGTATAGAAAAGAACATTAGAGACTGAGGGAAACAGGAAACACCACGTGCAAGAAAAGGGTGGGAGCAAGTACAGTGATACAGTATGATTTCAGGCTTATTTTAAGTTATCTTTCTTTTCTAAAAGAATATCTTAAAACTATAGCCTTTCCTTATTATGTTTGATTTACGAAAAGGTGGCAATACCTTGCCAGTATCCCAGTGAGTTCTTTGTAACCTTTAAATAACAATTGGGAGCTAAGTTTGTGATAATGACAATGGTGTTTCTTTAAGTGTGAGGTGAAGCACAGAAGTGAGCCAGTTTCAAAGAGCGGCTCCTGAATCACATCCTGGATTTTGTTTTCATCTTCTAGTGTCATTAAAATTCCATCGCCGCACCATAATAGCCACACTCAACAGCTGGATGCGGAGTGGGTGATTTCTGAAGTTCTAACACCAGTAATTTTTCTCACAGCCATTTCATTTTAGAGCTATGTCGTGGAAACAAGAACCTTCTGAGTTTAGTCAAAACCCTCCTTTGATGGCTGGGCTCGAGAAGCGTGAAGTAACAACAGAAGAAACTCGGTCTCTTTCCAGATTTCCAGCCCAGCAAAACTCCTGCCATAGGGTCACCATGAAAAACGTGTAATGCCTCTGCCTCCTGGCTTCTACGCTGACATGCTATAAACGAGGGCAAACTGGGATGACTTTGGACAATGACACCATGGCACCCACGGGGCTTGCACGCAGCAGGCTCTATGGGTGCCTGAGTGCTGAACGAATTCGTGCTGCCTGCCCGCGGGCTGCGGGTCCCGGGTCCCCAGAGTGTCCAGTCCTGCGTGTACAGAGCTTGCTTGTCCACTCTCTTGCCCTGGTGACCCCGGCGAAGGACAGTTCCTCACGGACCCGATAATGCACTGAACACGTCCAGAGTTCCATCTCGTCGCGCGTGGCACTTTCTGAGTCTCGCAGCGCAATTTCCGGCCCAGCAAAGGGCTGTCTACAGCCGGCAGCGGCTCCCAGCAGGCCCGAGGGCCCAGGAAGGGAGCGGGGGCGCCCACCACCCGCCCCGTCTCCCTGTACCCCAGTCCCGCCACCCCAGTGATCTGACCGCTCGGCCTTCGCCCTTCGCTGGTTCGCGCCACCAGCGTGTTGGGACGTACCCCACTTCATTTTCCCAGCCTGTTTACACACCCCAGGTCAGCAGCCCCCGAGGTAGCCGGGCCCCGCGCCCCTCCCCGCCCCCTCCCCGGGAGCCGCCTCGGCGCCCTCCCGGGCAGTCACGTGAGCCGCCCGGCCCGCCCCGTCGGTCACGTGAGCCGCCCGGCCCGGCCGCCCCGCCCCGCCCCCGCGCCGGCGCGCTCCGACGTGCCCTGGCACTTCACCTCCCCGGAGACCAGCCTGCGGGGACGGCGCTGCGGCCGTCGCCGTGGAGCGCCCTCCACACTCGCCTCTGCGTCCCGCGCCGCGGCGCCCGCTGGGCAGGGAGCCGGTCCCCTCGAGGCCCGGGCCCTCGGTAAGGTGGCGGGCGCGGGCTGCGCGGACCGAGGGCACGCCGTGCAGGCACCGCACAAAGGCGCTCCGGGGCCGGGGCTGTGCCCGCCGAGGGCGGCGGAGTTGGGGGGAGGCGTGTGCCGGGGGTGCAGAGGTGTGCGGCGAGGTGAGGCCGGGAGCGCGGCCCCGGGCTCCGGCTTGGAGCGCGGAGGTGCACCCCGGGAGTGGGGCGGCTGCTAGCCCTGCGCCCACGGGGGCCGGAGGGTTTAAATGACTCCAAGTCGTGGTTTCTCAGTCCCCCGGGCTTTCTGACTTCCTGTGTGAGGGCAGTGCCCGCCCCGCCCCCAGGAAGGAGGGTGTTGGGATGTGTGTGTGTGTGTGTGTGTGTGTGTGAGTGTGTGTGTAAAGCAGGTTGGTGTCTCCCTCCTTCCTTACCTCCCGCCTTCCGTGTGCCCCACTCCTCTGCTGCTGTGGGGTGCAGAAACCTCCGCCCATCCAGGGAGCCCACCTGAGGCCTCCCCTGGAGAACTGTCCAGTTTAAAAGTGGGCACTTCTCTGAGGTCTTAGAGCTGCCCCGCCCCTGCTGCATGCAATTTGCTACTTTCTTGCTTTTCTGGGAGGAATTTCCTCAAAGTTCTTGAATTAAAAACCCTCGTCCCTGGCGTGTCGCCCCCCCCCTTCCATCTCGGGATTGTTGAATGTTTTCTTAGAATGCCTGTCCTTTTCTATGTTGAGTCGTAAATCACCGCAGACCCTCTGAGAAGAAATGGCCACAGGGGCATCAGTGGAGAAAAAGGCACGGCCTTCACTTTTAGAGGCATGTGATGTTTTCTTTTTGGCTGCAGCAGCAATTTCAAAAACATTTGTAAAGGCGAAGAAATCAAGATGTTCAAAGGATACCTTTGTGAAAGTTCTAATGGAAGTGACGTGTTTGTTACAGGTGAAGTCTGTTAACACTGCACGATTAGTATGCTTAATTGGGACACATGGAAATGGACTTTATTGACCATTTATGCACGTATTCTAAGGGGAGGTAATGTAGAGGAGAGGAAGGGACATTGAATGAGGAATCACTAGAGTTCTGATTTTGGTTCTGCTGTTCACTTCAAAAGGTGAGACCTTGAAAGACTCTGAATGTTACCATGAAAGGTTGTTAAGAAGTTTTTTGCCCTTAGCCACGCCTCTTTCATATTTAAAAGTTGGGAAACGATGGCCTAGAGATGCATTTAGTTCTTCACATCCAGTGTTCCTTACCTGATCTGTAGGAGGCTGCATTACAAAATGGGTCATCTCGCTGTATCTTTTCTGGTTTGAATAGACAGTTTGACTGCTGGTGTCACTGTGCCAGTGTTTTTATCTCTTTAAAATAAAAAAATAATACATTGGAAACATTTTAGGGCAGGGATTTTGAAGCCCAGAGCAGTGCCTAAGCACAGGCTCTGAAGACTTGACCCGGAGCCATGCAACCTGAAAAGCCATACAAGCTGGGCACTTTCGTGTGACCCTGTTTACACATGTAGTTCTGCTGTGGATAGTGTAACGTAACATTATTTTGTGTTGTGTGTGTGTGTGTGTGTGTGTGTGTGTGTGAGAGAGAGAGAGAGAGAGAGAGAGAGAGAGAGAGAGAGAAGTGTATGCCTCAGTACTTGTTGATAGATTTCTGTTTGTACATTATCAACCATAAAAGTTGGAGAACCTGCTAATGGACTCAATATAATGCCATCTATATAGGTTAATATATAGTCAATATTGTTTCTTTAGATTTTTTTATAACTTACTATACCAGTTGTTGTGAACTGTAGTGAAAATATGTAAATGCTGTAGAAAAACAGCACATTTGTAGTTAATCATTTGGCCTTTCTTTATTAAAAAGAAAGTGTCTTAGTCCTTTTTTTTTTTTTTTGAGTAGGTCTAGAGAAAGTGGGCTTTAGGAATTTAAGTACTTAAGTTATGCAGTTGACCTTTCTGAGAATAATAAAGGCAATACAGTTTCTAAATTGATGAAAATAAAAGTGAGTTTGGTGGTGTGTAAACTTATTAAATGTATTTAATAATTATTTGAGAAATTTGGTGTTAGGAAAAAGGTTAAAGTGACTGTACCTAAAATGGGCTGTTTTATAATAAATAGTGGAAGAGAAAAGTGAAAGTAAAATTTCTCTTTTATATTGAATGATTTTTTTTATGATTGCAAATATGAACTATTTTTAAGAATGAATCAGATGCGAAAAGGTATAGTGGTGTCACATAGCATCCTTGTTCTTCATGCTGTTCATGTCATCCTCTTTTGAGGAACTCACTGGGTTACTGTCTTTTTAGTTTTTCTCTCTTTCTCTCTTTCTAGCACTGGGTACAGCCAGAAGCGCGGGAGGGGGAGAGAATTCACCAGAGCCAGAGCGGGGAGCAGAGCAGGCAGAAGGACCGAAGTACACTGCTGAGGGGAGCAGCGGGCGGCAGGAGAGGTCTGCGCGCCATGTGGGACCCTCCTCCAGTGGCCGGGGAGCAGCCGGGGATCGAACCGGCGCTGCAGAGGCTGCGGGCAGCTTCGCAACCCAGCACTCAACCACTGTGCCACTGGGGAGGCCCTGTCTTTTTAGTTTTTCTTTTCTTTAGTTGTTAACTGGTCTAATTGTGCTACACCCTCACTTGTAGAAGGCTTTGCTGTGGTTCAGCCATTTTCCTGCTACTTTCTTTTTTTTAAAGATTTATTTATGCATATGAGAACTGGGGTACAGGCCAGAGGTGCTGGGGATTAGGGGATTCACCAGAAACAGAGTGGGGAACAGAACAGACTGACTGACTGAAATACACTGCTGAGGGGAGCAGCGGGCGAAACAGGAGAGGTCTGCTGCGCCATGTGGGTAGCTCCCTGGCTGGGGTCGAACTCCTGCTGTAGTGGCTGGTGATAGCTTCATAGTGCTGACACTTAACCCCTTGTGTCACCGGGGAGGCCCCTTTTCCTGTTACTTTTATTGACTTTAATGACTTAGTAAATATCCTGCAGTTTCAGTTGATTAGCTTATTTGAACTGAACTGCCGAATGCTGACATCTCTAAGCTCTCCTCCCTTGTTGATTATCTACTGTCTTAAGTTTTAATGTGTATAGCAATCACCTGAATATCCAGCAAGCCTCCAGGTGATACCAACGCTGCTCTTCTGCCCAGACTGCAGACTACTGCTGTCCTATAGAAATATAATGGCAGTCACGTGTAATTTTAGTTTTTAGTACTCATGATAAAAAAAATGGAAAAAAAACTCAAGTGAAAGAAGTAATTTATTTTATCATATAATCAATATTAAATTTTTAATGAGATATTTTATTTTTTTTTCAGATTAAGTCTTTACACTTACAGCACAGCTCCATTTAGATCAGCCATGTTTCATGGCTTAATAGCCATGCTTAATAGCTGTTTTTGGCTAGTGGCTGGTAGTTGAACAGTACAGTTCTGGAGTCTGGAATCTAGACCAGTGCTTTTTTTGTAAGTGTATTTTCATTTAATCCCATCAGCAACTTTGGGAAATTGTTAGAAATGTATGTTTTGGGCACCCAGCTCATGCTTATTCATTAGGTTATCTGGAGTTTCATTAACTTGTGTTTTTAAAGCTGTAGGATATGACAAGAACATGTATATGTGATATTCTGGATGGGATCTCAGAACAGAAAAAGTTCATTAGGGAAAAACTAAGGAAATCTGAATAAGGTATGAATATTATTATGTATCAGTATTTTCACTGACTATGACAAATGTACCAGCCTGCTCTAAGATGTACCATCCTATTCTAAGATGTTAGTAGTAGGGGAAACTGTACAAAGTTATCTGGGAACTTTTTGTACTATTGTTGCAATAATTCTGTAAATCTATAACTCACCTAAAATATTTTTTTTAAAAAAAGATTTAAAAAAAGAACTGGGGTGTAGGCCAGAGGTGCAGGGGGTTGGAAGGTATGAGAGGATTCACCAGAGACAGAGTGGGGAGCAGAACAGGCCACTACTGAAATACACTGCTGAGGGGAGCAGCAGGTGAGACAGGAGAGGTCTGTTGTACCATATGTGGGTTACCTCCCTCACCAGGGATCACACTCAGGCCATATGTGGCTTACCTCCCTCGCCGGGGATCAAACTCAGGCCACGGCCGTGATAGTGCTGAGAGTAAAGTAAGTATTTTTAAAGTAACTTCAAGTAATTCCATTGTTCACTGAATTTCAGAATCAGTTATCTAGATCTTTAATAAGACCTAAGCTACTGGAGCTTGGGTGGATCATGCAGGATGGAGGCCTAGTACTAAGCCTGGCAGGACAATAATATTATTTTTATAAGAAGAGCTAAAATATAGAAAGCACTTAGCAGGTGCTACGCATTATAGCAAGTGCTTTACACATATTTACTCATTTAATTTCCCAGGATGTGGTATGTACTATTAATAAACTCCATTTAACAAATGGAAAAAACTAAGACTCACGGATTGACTTGTCTTAGGTCAGATTGCTAGCAAGAGGCAAAGACAGGAACTTTTGAGGGACTGATATCTGTTTGACCAGTTTATTTGTGATCATTTTTCTCTTTCACAATTTTGCTTCTTTGAGTGAGTTATGATTAGTTTGGATACTCTGTATCATCACATTTTTTCTGTTTCCTTCTTTCAAGGATGTTTTAAGGTTTGTATTGTTTTCTTTGTTTTACAGATAATCTAAAGTGCTCAGGGTCTGAGAACTGATAATTGGCAAATCCTAGCTTTGAATTTCTGGCCTCTGATCCTGTTTCTGTGCTATTTTCCTTTACCAAAGGAGAATTTAGGATACATTTTGAAGTTACAGTGAGATACTGAAAAGCTTGCTGAAAATTACCTGTATTTTGCTTTGTGTTAATTTAAAACATCAGTTTTATGAGGTGTAGTGTACATATTTTAAAATTTTAAAATGTACTAACACTCAGTAATAAAAAGAAGTGAACTATAGATACATATAACAATGTGGGTGAATCTTAAAAGCATTATTATAAGTGAAAAGTCCAGAAATAAAGCTACATTTTGTATGATTTGGGGTATTTTTTTTTTATTGCAACTTTGCTTCCTTTTTTAAAATCACAACTTTGTTTCCAAGTAAGCAATGACTAATGTGATGCTACCTACCTTTATAGTTCACTAAGTACTTTCCCACATTTTCCCCCATTCTCATAAGGACCTTTTGAGGTTTGTGTTGTTTCCAGGTTTACAGATGATGTACCACAATTTGTTTAGTGTTCACTGGTTGATAGGCCTTTTGTTGTTTCCAGTTTCTGGCTATTACAAATTAAAATTATTACAAATGTACATGTAAGGTATTTTCATGGACTTACGTTCTCATTTCTTTGGGTAAATAGCAAAACTTGCCAGATTATATGGTAAATGTATGTTTAATTTCATCAGAAACTTCTAGAATGTCTTACAAAGTGGCTGTACCATTTTGTATTCCCACCAGCAATGAATGAGAATTTCAGTTGATGTATTCTTAATATACAAAATGTGTGTGTGTGTGTGTACGTGCTTGTGTGTATTTGTGTGTGTCCATTTAAATAGGGGGAGTAGTGATATCTGGTGGTTTTAAAATGCAGTTTTATGGTTTTGTTTAACAGCTTTATGGAGGTATAACTGCTGTGTAATAAACTGCATGTTTTAAGTGAACAATATAATGAGTTTTGATGTGTATCAAGTTAATGAACATATCTCTAGCACCCCAAATTCCTTGAGCTTCTTTGTAAATCATTGTCCTTGTTCCCTGGTGACTATTAATCTGCGTTGTCACTATGGATTAATTTGTATTTTCTAGAATTTTATACAGATGGGTTCATATACTATGTAGTCATTTTTGTCAAAATTTTGTCAGCAAAATTTTGGAGATCCAGTTTCCTGTATCAGTAGTTCATTCATTTGTATTGCTGTGTGATAGCCCATTGTACAGATATAC